TTGGGACAGAGTTTCACTCTTGTTGCCCAGGCTGGAGTATGATGACGTAGTCTCAGCTCACTGGAACCTCCGCCTCCCAGGTTCAAGAGATTCTCCTGCCTCAGGCTCCCGAGTAGCTGGGATTACAGGCATGTGCCACCTGGCTAATTTTATATTTTTAGTAGAGGCGGGGTTTCTCCATGTTGGTCAGGCTGGTCTTGAACTCCTGACTTCAGGTGGTCTACCCTCCGTGGCCTCCCAAAGTGCTGAGATTACAGGCATGAGTCACCACGCCCTGCCACCAAATTCATCTTGTTTGTTCAATTTTTTCCCAACTGTAGGGAGACTACAGTAAACATTTCCCAAAACTTCCTGTGCAAAATTGCTGATTCCTACTGTTTTCATGCCATTTTCTGTTGTTATCCATTAGTGTTTGTTAATTTACACACTGAGGGAGTGAGGCATATGCAGTTTCCAGAAGGCAGCCAGCATTGCCAGTGGGGTGGTGCAACCCTGGACCCAGTTTTTAAAAATTGTGGTAATTGAACAGTGAGAACACTTGAACACAGAAAGGGGAACATCACACACCGAGGCCTGTTGTGGGGTAGGGGGAGGAGGGAGGTATAGCATTAGGAGATATACCTAATGTAAATGAGGAGTTAATGGGTGCAGCACACCAACATGGCACATGTATACATGTGTAACAAACCTGCACGTTGTGCACATGTACCCTAGAACATAAAGTATAAAAAAAAAATTGTGGTAAAATACACATAACATAAATGTACCATTTCTTACTGCTTTCTTCTTTTTTTTATTTTTGAGATAGGGTCTCGCTTTGTCGTCAAAGCTGGAGTGCAGTGGCACAATCACAGCTGACTGTAGCCTTGACCTCCTGGGATCAAGCAATTCTCCCGCCTCAGCCTCCTGAGTAGCTAGGACCATAGACACATACCACCCCATCTAGCTAATTTTTATTTTTCATTTTATAGAGACAGGATCTCACTATGTTGCCCAGGCTGGTCTAGAACTCCTGGGCCCAAGCAATCCTCCCACCTCAGTGGCTTCCCAAAGTGCTAGGATTATAGGTGTGAGCCACTGTGCCCAGCCTGTTTATTATTATTATTATTTTTTTTTTTGAGACGGAGTCTCGCTCTGTCGCCCAGGCTGGAGCGCAGTGGCTGGATCTCAGCTCACTGCAAGCTCTGCCTCCCAGGTTTACGCCATTCTCCCGCCTCAGCCTCCCGAGTAGCTGGGACTACAGGCGCCCGCCACCACGCCCGGCTAGTTTTTTGTATTTTTTTAGTAGAGACAGGGTTTCACCGTGTTAGCTAGGATGGTCTCGATCTCCTGACCTAGTGATCCGCCCGTCTTGGCCTCCCAAAGTGCTGGGATTACAGGCTTGAGCCACCGCGCCTGGCCAGCCTGTTTATTATTTTTTCCCTCTTCTAGACTGTAGAATTATTCGGCTGGGTGTGGTGGTTCACGCCTGTAATCTCAGCACTTTGGGAGGCTGAAGCCGGTGGATCGTGGGGTCAAGAGATCGAGATCATCCTGGCCAACATGGTGAATCCCGGCTCTACTAAAAATACAAAAATTAGCTGGACGTGGTGGCACGCACCTAAAGTCCCAGCTACTTGGGAGACTGAGGCAGGAGAATCGCTTGAACCCAGAGGCAGAGGTTGCAGTGAGCCGAGATTCCGCTACTGCACTCCAGCCTCACAACAGAACGAGACTCAGTCTCAAAAAAAAAAAAAAAAAAATTCATGTAGGTAGACAGTTTTGTTCAAAATTGTTTCCTATGCTCCTAGCACAGTGTCTGACAATAAACTTTCAGATAAAGGTGTATATCTCTGCCAGGCGTGGTGGCTCATGCCTGTAATCCCAGCACTTTGGGAGGCTGAAGCACGTGGATCACCTGAGGTCAGGAGTTCGAGACCAGCCTGGTCAACACGGCAAAACCTCGTCTCTATTAAAATACAATTAATAGTTGGGCATGGTAGTGCATGCCTGTAATCCTAGCTACTCCGGAGGCTGAGGCTGGAGAACTGCTTGAACCCAGGGGGCAGAGGTTGCAGTGAGCTGAGATCATGCCACTGCACTCCAGCTAGGTGACAATGAGATTCTGTCTCAAATTTAAAAAAAAAAAAAAAAGAAAGAAAAAAGAATGAAGCCCACCAATCTTGCCATGGCCCATACACCCCTCTGTGTAGCTGTGACCTGCCTCCCCTCAGCTGTGGCCTGCTCTGGACCCCTTGTTCACCATGTTTCAGCCATGCTGATATCAATTCCTCTGTTTGGAACATGCTCTTTCTTCTGCTGGTAATATTCTTTCCCTTACAGTTTTATGATAATTCAGCTAAATAACAGTTTCTTAGGGAAATCTTAACCCTGAGAGTGACTAAGTCTACATGTTACATGGTCTCAAGCACAATATACTTTTCCTTTACAGCAGTTATTACATTTATAGTTATTTGTATAATTAGTCATTAACTACCTGTTTTCCCTAAGATTGCAATTTCAAGAGGGCTTTGTCTTTTTTTTTTTTTTTTAGACGAAGTCTCGCTTTGTCACCCAGGCTGGAGTGCAATGGCGGGATCTCAACTCATTGCAACCTCTACCTCCCAGGTTCAAGCAATTCTCGTGCCTCAGCCAACTGAGTAGCTGGAACTACAGGCACCTGCCGCCATGCCTGGCTCATTTTTCTATTTTTAGTAGAGACAGGATTTCACCATGTTGGCTAGGCTGGCTTCGAACTCCTGACCTAAGGTGATCTGCCCATGTCGGCCTCCTGAAGTGCTGGGATTACAGGCGTGAGCCACCACGCCCGGCTAGCTTTGTTTTGATAACTATTATATCCATAGTGCCTGGCACATAGTATATGCTCATTAAACATTCATTGAATAAATATAAAAGCATCTTCATATGACCTGTAGTCTAGCAAGATGGCGGCAATAAATTGCAACACATTGTGTCATTAAATGTGTGTGTGTGCGCGCAGAATCTCACTGTGTAAAAGAGGGAAATCAGTATCAGTCCTGATGTAGTTAGCACCTAGGTCCCCAAGTCTATTTGGGTCCAAGTGTAAGTATGGGATAAATAAATGGAGGGCAATAAATGATGGTAGGGCACATACACGGTGCTACCAGCAGAGAGAAGCAACACCCTAGCCGAATGGAAGTGGTATTTTCTGAGGCGGTTACTGCTGAAAGTAGATGGAAGAACAGGAATTAGCTGGACTAAGGTGGCGATTGGTGGGTCGGGGGGATGACAGGGACAGTAGCAGGGTACTTGAAGCTAAGGGAAGACTTTGCACAAAGGCCAATGGTGAGAGAGAAAACAGAGTCCAGTGATGTGGAGGAGGACAAATGGGTAAAGGGAAGTGAGCCCAGATCTTGTTAGCCAATTTAAAGATTTAGATTTTGTTCAGTGGCCAGTGGGGTGCCATTGAAAGTTTCAATGGGCTGGGCACAGTGGCTCATGCCTGTAATCCCAGCACTTTGGGAGGCTGAGGCGGGCAGATCACCTGAGGTCAGGAGTTCAAGACCAGCCTGGCCAACGTGGTGAAACCCCATCTCTACTAAAAATACAAAAATTAGCCGGGTGTGGTGGCACACGTGTGTAATTCCAGCTACTCGGGAGTTGAGGCAGGAGAAACGCTCAAACCTGGGAGGTGGAGGTTGCAGTGAACCAAGATCGTGTCACTGCGCTCTAGTCTAGGTGACAGAGCTAGTCTCTGTCTCAAAAAAAAAAAAAAAAAAAATGTTTCAATGAAGGTTTCAGAGGATGCATGATGATACCTACATTCTACAAAGATCACTCTGATGACAGGGCCAAGAAGGAAGGCCACAGAGGTTTGTGCTGTTGTCTCAGAGTCCCCATTCTCAGAGTCCCCAGCAGGTGCTGAGGTTAGGTCTGCCCTAGCCAGGATCTTGTCAAGGAGGGAGGGAAAGAGAACCTGGAGGAACCACTCTGGTCTGCATCCAGCTCCTCCCTTTTCACTGCTGTGGTTCTGTGGTTTGGGCAGATGCATACATAGTCTTCAGGAGGTAAATTGTCATTGTTTTGTATTTAGTACAAGAGACTGTGCAGGCCCAGAATGACCTGGTGTTTGAGGCAGTCCAGGACAAAGGCAACATGGAGCAGGCCATCCTTGAGATGAAGAAAAGATCTGAAGCTGTAAGTGTAAACCCCAACCTCTTTCCAAGTGTGTTTTGGGCTTTATAACCAGATCCAGAGAGAAACTTTTTTTTTTTTTTGAGACGGAGTCTCGCTTTGTTGTGCAGTGGCACGATCTTGGCTCACTGCAACTTCCACCTCCCGTGTTCAAGCAATTCTCCTGCCTCAGCCTCCCGAGTAGCTAGGACTTATAGGTGCACACCACCACACCTGGCTAATTTTTGTATTTTTAGTAGAGATGGGGTTTTTCACCATGTTGGCCAGGATGGTCTCAATCTCTTGACCTCATGATCCACCTGCCTCAGCCTCCCAAAGTGCTGGGGATTGCAGGCGTGAGCCACCGTACCCGGCTGAGAAACCTTTAAAGTTGCAAATTTTCAGCTAAGACCAGAGGCCAGCACAGGCCACTTGGAAAGGGGCCAGCATATAGGCTAGCTTCCTTTCCTAAGGTTCCTTGACATGATGTGGGCCCCAGGGGTTCAACTCCAGAGTGTAGTTTTGCTTACCCTGGGAGGTTCCCTACAGGGAGCAAGCCGTGGTTCTGCGGTCACATCCAGTGGTCTGTTCTCATGTTTATTGTGCTTTCTGACTTGCACTGTCCATCACTGTCTTTCTCACTGCCTCTCTCCCCAGAGACAAGCAGAGTTTATAGAAATGAAGTCCAACCTGAAGCACCTTGAAGTTTTAGTTGCTCAACAGAGTCAGGAATTCCAGCAGCTGTGTGAGCAGCTAGGCCAGCTTAATGTGCCCAGTGTCCTAGCAGAGCTGAAGAGATTGATCTCAGTGCCTCCAGTACCTGGGCATGTAAAAGACAGCGCTTCTCAGACGTCGCCACCTTTGGCCCAGAGCCTCAATCTCACCGGGCAGGAAAAATACACCTTTGAGAAGCCAGTTTTATGGCAGGCCCAGGCCCTCCCTGCTGCATGGAATCCTGGTATGGGTTCCCTACAGCCTGGAGAATTTGGTGTCTGGGGTGAAGGAGCAAAGAATGATGCTCTCCAAGAAGAGGCTGCACTGCCAGCATTTGGGTCCCATGAAAGAAATAGGCATGTAAAGGACAAGGCAGTGCAGACTAACTGCAAGAACTGGGCTGTTATTAAAACAGATGCCAAGAACTGTGGTTCCAGCATCCAAGGCCATAAGATTCCTAGTGACAGGGACCTGGTTTCCCAAGGAGCCTCACAGCTCACATCACTGGAGATAAACAACTTTTCAACCAGCATTAAGAATGCCTGCCAAAAATATCAAGCCCAAAGTATGTTTTTGTGTGACCCACGTGAACATTTGGTGACTAAACAGAAAGATGGGACTGAAGAAATGCAGGGGAAAGACAAGAAGCAGCAGCCCAGGAAGGCCCACAGGGCCCACAGAGGCAGGCTCCTAGCCAGGAAGCAGAAACAAATCCCAAACCAGACCTCTAAATTCAATTCCAAATATCAGAGTCCTCAGCCTGCAATTTCTGTCCCACAAAGGCCCTTCCTGGGGCAGCAGGAACCCCATGCTCAGCCTCTGCATCTGCAGTATCCCAGGAGCCCCAGAAAACCAGTCTTCCCTGTTCTGGGAGGAACAATCATGCCCAATAAGACAGCAAGGGCAGTGCAGGGAAGACTCTTGCAGTTCAGCAGATGCTCTTCCCAAGACAACAGGCTACTTTCCAGCAGTTCTCAGGGGGACCACCAGATGAGCTGGTTCAGTGACCTCAATCTTGGATGTTCAGAGACCCCTCTATGCAAGGAGGCAGGAAAGAATTTGCTCTATGACCTGGGTTTTGATAGCAGTGATGATGATGGCTTCTGACCAGCCCACAGTTAATTTATTGGTCTCAGCTAGAAAGACAAATTGCAGGACATTTGGGCTGGCCAAGAGCAGAAAGTCCCTGAAGCCTGCCAAATACCCTAGGGTCAGAGGCCCTGCTGAGGTGGGGTCAATGGGCACGAGGGGAGGGAAGGTCCAGCACTCTGGGTACCAGGTGCTGCCCATGACAAGGATTAAGTGCATCCTTATTTGTTGGAAGGAAATGTGAAAATGGTGGTGATGAGAGCTGAGGCAGCAGCCTGGTTGTGGTGCATCTGGAGCCCCTGGGTGCCTGTACTTGGCGAAAGGCGGGCAGGCCTCCTTATGGAATACTGTGTAGCAGAAGGGCTCTCATAAAACTTGCTGTGGCAGCATGACTCCAAACAACACTTTTGGGTCTTTAAAATATTCCCTACACATGACCAATACATTTTCAGGCCTCAGGATTTTTTTCTTTCTTATTTTTAGCCACTCATGCTGTCAGAGTGTTTGCATTTTTTGATCAGTAGACATATTACAGGACACCCTAAATCTTCTTGTGAACAGAGAAAATGATAAGCCTGACAGTGAAAGAGGTGACATGCACTAGCAAATGTCCAGAGCATCACTGCCCACAAGCCATTTTTCTTCCTGGCTGCTTTTTCCCTTGTCCTGTTTTTCAAGCACTTTCTTAAAACTAATAATATTGTAGACCTTGTATTATTTCTGAAGAGCAGTGGGCTTATATGGGACTTTGGCTTTCCATTTATATCTTGCTGAAGTTTTTTGAATTTTTGCAACACATATGTATTTTTTGTTATCAGAAATAAAACATTTAAAAGCATATTTTTTTTTCTTTTTTTTCCCCCCTGAGATGGAGTATTGCTCTGTCACCTAGGCTAGAGTGCAGTGGTGTGATCTCAGTTCACTGCAACCTCTGCCTCCCAGGTTCAAG